TTTTTAGCCCTTTTGTTAGAAGGAGCACCAATGGCTCAAGTTACTCTGAGTTTTATCACATTTCTCTTCTCCCCCATCCCCATCCCCAACACTTCAGAAATCTTATGAGAAAGCCATCATCTCTAGAACTCTACTTCAAGGCTGCCAAAAATAAACACTTAATAGTCCTCTTGCTTACCTCCCTTTCACCACCATCACCCTCTGCCACCAATGTCTCACACTTTAACTAGAAACCACAATGTCACAAAATCATTTAGTCACTACAGTGGAAAAGAGTACATGCTTTGGAGTCAAATAACTTTGTGAGTCTCCTTTACTTAGTCCAATTAGTTGCACTAATTACTTCTGCTGGTTTCTACGCCTGTTTATTTAACGGAAAATAAGAATACCTAAAACACATAAAGCATCCATGAAGCATAATGCCTAGCCTATTATGGACTTCTGTATCCTGGTGCTATCCTGGATACTTAATGTAGAGCTTGGAAACAAAACACAGAGCCATCCCAGAGGTTACAGTCCCCTGGTTTAACCCCCAGGGACTCTACCTGGGATATGAATTCCTGATCCATCCCTTATTAGGTACTTTACAAAGTACTTGATCAGAATGCCACATTCCTCTTCTCTTGGACAAAGCTTTTCCAACCAATGTGCCAAGAATGAATTATGGATGTGATGAAATATTGACCCCCCAACTCCCTGGCCCCCTCAGCTTTCAGAGGGCCAGGGGGTCTGCCATACAAATAATCATTTTATGTGTGCCATGACGCAGAAAAGCTTGGAAACCTTGCTCTAACACACTATCTCATGGTTGGAGCTGGCAGCTTCCTTCCTCTAGATGATTTAGGTCTCACCACCAACTCTGTCATTCTTACGATTCTGCTTCAAAGACAGTTGTGTCACAGTTCTCCCAAAGGATCAAAAAGGATCAGCCTGAACATAAAGGAAACAAAAACTCTCAGGTGACAATATGGCAAAGATGCTACCAAATTTTCACAAAACATTTGAGCAATTTCCAACAATATCCGCCTATAACTATTTTAAGGCAAAAGTTTAGAAGTAATGGAGGAAAGATGAAAGAGAAAGTCACAAAGAGAAAACGAAAATGTGTACTTTTGTAGAGGACAGTTGAGGATTTGTAAGAGCTATTCAGCAGCTTCCATGACTGGCTAAAGTTAGGAGACACTAAAGAGAACAAGATTATTTTCAAGTTCCTTTGTTTTATAGTCTTTTTTTTTTCATACTTCCTAGAACTAATGCTGGTGAATATCTGACTTTTAGACTGTTACAGTCCCTAAGTCATCATCATCCATATTTTGTGGAACTACTCTTTCCAGTCTGCACATATATCATTAGTTTTTCATCTGTAACCATATTCTCTTAAATTCCCTATTAAATTTACTTACTCCATCCTCAATTGCTTCCTTATCCCATCCTAAATTCATCATTCTTGAATGTATTTATACATCAAGACTCTTACAATGCTAAGTCTATTACTTAAAGCCTTTATTTTCACATTTTCCACTCCTCATATGTCATCTCACACACTCACAGATTTATATCTACCCCATAGGAAAACTATCAAACAACACTCCATAGGCTTCCTCCAAATTCATTTCTTTTTGTCATACTTTTTGATATGATATGAAATCAGGTGTTCAATTATTGAAAATTAATAAAGGAAGAGACTGTCTTTACTTAATGTCTGAGAGAAAATCAGGTGAGATACCTCCAACTCATACCAAAAAAGATGTAAAGAAAATATGCTAGAAGCAGTCTGGAGTAGTAGTTGTCTGGATTCAGATAACCCAGGTTCAATCCTGGCTCCACCAGTGTAATTCTGAGCAGATTAGCTTCAGTTAATCATTTAGTTCCAATTTCTTTATCTGTGTGTGTATGCTCCCTCAGTCGTGTCTGACTCTTTGCAACCCCATGGACTGTAGCCCACCAGGCTCCTCTATCCACGGAATTCTCCAGACAGAAATACTGGTGTGAGTTGCCATGCCCTCTTCTGGGGAGCTTTCCGACCTCGGGATCAATCCTGCGTCTACTGCATCTCCTGCACTGGCAGGCGGATTATTTACCACTGCACCACCTGAGAAGCCCCTCTTAATCTACAAAAAATGAAAATTTTAGACAAGTTATAAGGTTGCTGTGAGGATGAGATGAGATGAGATAATCACATAAAGTACTTAGCATAATGCCTGGCACACAGTAAGCAAACAAATGTTATGGTATCAGATATCAATCTTCTGGCTTCCTCATTACCTTAGAAGGAAACGAATTTAGCATGATTGATTTATTTATAAAGTTATGTTTTCTGTCGCCCCCCCCCCCCCAAAGTAAGGATGCAAGATAGAGGGAAAATTAATTTTTGAGCAGAAAACACTGTCACTCTGTATGGACTATGACGAGCTGTATAGTTCTCTTCAAGTGTAAACATTCTATAAAATACGTGTCAAACATTTTAGAATGTCAACCCTTGATCAACAAACACTTCATCAAATCAGCAAATTTCAATATGCACTCTAAACTTACATTAAGTTTGGAAGGATACTAACTTAGTCACAAAAGAGAACTATCATTAAATTCTTAATCTAGAGGTAATATGGAGAGAAAGGAGATGTCAAGATGAGCAGCAGCATGCCAACGATTTAGGGACCACACCACTGAAATATGCTTTGCCCGTTCTAAATAAGCCGAAGACTAAAGTAAGTAGATACCTTAAGTGAAAAATAAGAAAATGAAAACAAAGTACAGCAGAAGTTTAAACTTTTACTATGAGCTGTACCCTGTGGGTTGGTGATATTTAATATGTATTCAATAATCATAAACATATCAGTTTATAAATACACTGGATCTCTACAACATTGGCCACAAATAGCTATCCCTAAAAAGAAACCTCAAAACCACAAATGAGGAACTAAATAAGTAGGCAGCCTTACTTCCTTCTCTACGTCTAGCAAGGAATTTAGAAACACTGAAATTCTGAAGTACCTAGAGATTTCATCACTATAAAGCTAGAATCTCTGCATTCTACTCCCCATGATGCCCAAACTAGCTATGTAGCGTTTGAAAAGAAAAAAGATCCACAGGAAAAAAAAAAAAACTTTTCATTAACTTCAAGAAGTTTTCATTAACTTGAAGAAGACACTGCCTAAGGAGTGTCTTTTAATCTACTGGAGGTTATATATCTGGAGGTTACACATCTCATTTAAGAATTTTCTTCAGAGGGGAGAAAATGCACTGAAACAAAACTTTGCCCATAATATTGGGGGTGGGGATGAGGAAGTCCCCTGAAAGCCACAGACCATGGACTCCCTAAGGCATGACCCAGGATTTAGGCAAACTAATTTACCAACTTGAAAAAGAAGGAAAGTAACTGAGGCAGAGGTTTTAACCCAAAAAATAAAATAACATTAGAAATATTTTCTGTTTTCTCAGCTAATGAGTGTTAGACCTGATGGCTGGGAGGGAGGGTTGAGCAAGGAAAAACAAAAGTGGGATTAAAACAATACTGACGTGTAATCTGTTGTCTACAAATGGAAAGAGCAATAAAACGGCCAACTCCTGCAGCCTTAACACAGGAAGGATTTAACATAACCAATTCCTGCGCACATTCCCACACCGGTGAGGTTAATTAAACAACAAATGGGAACACATACACACCTGCCACATTTGCAGGTGAAAGCACAAGTTTAACAAAAGTCCTTCAAATATTCCATTTTTTTCCTCCTTAAGAACCGATACGCTTTAATCTAGGAGAAAAGTAAGGGAGGGGGACAGAAATCCTAAAAGGGGGGTGGTTAAAAGGATGTGCAGGAAGTGGAAACTACAAACTTTTTGAGATCAAAGGGCTCAAGAGGGCGGATAAGAACACGAAGCAATAATAAAATAAAGTAAAAAGGAAAAGCGTCTAGAAACTGTTCTTAAAAAAACCAACAACAACAAAAAAAAACTTCTTTCCTTTTTCCAAGACACGTAAACAGTAGTGACTTGGCAAAGAGGAACAGACGAGACGACAGCACAACTTCCTTCCCAAACTTCAGCATTCCTTGGACGTCCTCGCCAGCACACTGAGGCTTGGGACATTTCCTAGGCAAGGCTCCTCCCTGCACCACAGCCTGAGGAACCTCTAGCAGGGACTATCGCTGTGGGAGAGAGGCAGTGGCGGATGCAGGGAAAGAAGATCAGCAATACAGGCTGGACAGCAAAGCTGAGGGTGGCCCACTCGGAGACTCAGTCGAAAAGACCTGGATCCTGCAATCCCTTTCCCCACTCAATGCGTTCACAACCGGGAGGGTGTCGCCCTGGGAAGGCCGGTCCTACTTCTTCGCCCGGCTGTTTCGGGGGCACACTCAGGGTGACAAGAGGGACGAAGGGGTAGAAATCCAAGGCCGAGTACCTGGGTAGAGAGAGATGGCACACACAGTCTAAGGACAGAAGTGCCCTGTGAAAGTACGGAACAGCGAACCCCAGAGGCAACGCGTCCGGCCGGGCAACCACCTCCAAGCAGCCTTCCCCCGCCTCTTTCCCAGCCGGCCAGCTCCGCCCTCACCTGTCTGCAGGCAAGCCGGCAGCGCTCACGTCGAGGATTATCCCTGCCTCTGCTCCCTGAAGTCGCCTCAGCCCTGGCCAGAAGTGAGCGGAAACGCGACCCGAGCCTTTTCCTTCTTCCCCTCCCGCCACGCACCTCGGCTCCTCCGGGGCGGGGAACAACTGCAACTGTCACAGCCTCACACTGACCAACCTCCGAAGACACTCGGACCGGCAGCCTCTCCACCGGCGGCCTACAGCCCCTGCACCCGGAGCAGCGGAGCCGGAAGTGAGGGGACCGGAAGTAGCGTTGTCCGTGGCCCTGGACGGCCTCTCTCTCCCTCAATCTGGCCAGCCCAGTCACGTCTCGATGGTGCCAGCGCACCTCCCGCGAGGTCCCCTCTCCAGGGGGCGGGCCCCGCCCCGCCCACTGCGGCCCTAGCAACCACATCCGGGACTCCGCCGGCGCCGTTGCCCGGGTAATTTTCTGGCTGCGAGGGGTGTGAGCCCGGGTCCAGATGCACCTGCCGGAACTTGCCCCAGGGCAAGTGGGCCTGGTCTTGAGTGGTCGGAGGTCCAGGAGCCCTTGGCATAACTTTCTCACTCACACACCCCAGCCTCACGCGTTAGGCTTTCCCCAGCAGACGGTGAGCCGGTGGCGGGAGGGCGCCTCGCAATCCCAGGAGAGCCAAAGCTTCTTTCTCAGCTGCCGGAGAGCACGCAGAAGGTTATTCCAACCCCGCGGGCGTTGAGAGGGTGGAGGCAATGCGGGGTTTAGGGAGCAGACGGGATGCGGGTGCCTCACTCTCCTTCCCCAGTGCCCACTGCTGTCCACTCACGCCCACCCACTTCTGGACGACCAGACTCCCTTGTTCGGCATCCCTGAGTTATGATTTGCTCTTTGTGATGACTTTCTGCTCTGCTTGCTAGCAGAGAGTGAATCTGTGATACTTTTCTCTCCTGCTCCTCTTTACTCAGATGACCGATTTCTGCTTTTTTTGCTTGCCCCATTACTTAATAGATCACTGCCCTGTCTATAGAAACCGCCGAACAGTCCTCTCGGATCCCATTGTAGTTTCCTAAGAGAAGGCCCCAACCTGTACTACGGCTATTCTGCCTGTCCCCGCACAGTACGGCTCAGCAGTGGTGCTAGACCCCTGAAGCCTATTTGCATACAGTACGTACCGGCGATCCAGCCGCGCTAGTCTTCTTCCCGCGTTCTAGACTGCTTTTACTTTGACAGCCCTGTCACTTGCAGAAATGCCAAAGGAAACAGCGTACTCCGTGGAATCTATCCCTCTAGACCATACTTCTCACCTGCCTTGTCACATTAGCTGACAAGACTTTTTTAATGACTAAGTGCCCGAAGGCAGAATTCTGCCTCTCCGGATTTGTAGGGAATTTCAGCATAGTGAACCATACATCCCTGCACAAATACCTATCCCATATCTGTGAAGAGTAAATACACCACAAATGTTTCCAAAGTAAATACCAATATTTATTGTCTGAGATTTCCAGGACACCTTCTCTGAGAAAAACCGTAGTGAAATCCCAAAACATAAATCTGTGGTTGAATGTTGAATCGCTTCAGCCGTGTCCGATCCTTTACTATCCCATGGACTGTGGCCCGCCAGGTTCCTCCTTCATGGGGATTCTCCATTCAAGAATACTGGGGTGGGTTGTTGTGCCCTCCTCCAGGGGAAATGGATTAAAAAATATATATATATATATGTATGCATGTGTGTATGTATGTATATATTCATTCATTTAGCTTTACTTCTACAGTTTACTGTGGATTTTCTGGTTCAAAGCATTCCTGTTAGTCTTCTCAATTATAAGAGATGGATCCCCATCTAGAATAATTACTGTTTTTATTGTAGAGCAACAGAATGGAACTTAGTGGCAAGTACGAGGATTAGAGTCTCCCTGAAGGATGTGTAGGAAGAGGTGGGTGACAGTGCTCAGTGGTGCTAGAACGATGTGTACTTAACTGTTTGGGCTGGCTGGGGCTGTAAGGATTCTTGCTAGCTGTCTCTTGAGTTTGAGGACATTTAACTAAAGTAATCTATTAGACCGTTAGGCTCAGAAGTATTTCTGATATTGAAAAGGTAGACACTTGGTTTAGTTATTTGTCCTTAGCTGGATGGTTTTCTTGGCAGCTGCTGGTTTTGATAGAAATTCAGATGTGATTGGAACTAATGCTAACGTCTACTTGGTGAGGGTGCTGTGAATCATTTTAGGTGCTCTCTGGTCCAGTGTGATTCTGATAGTGTGCACAGTTAGTCCTTATATTAATACATAGTGTTATGCTGTGCAAGGCTATAGACAGGATTAATCCTCCTATGATTTTTGCTACCCCCAGGGAAACTAGAAAGTAGGAAGGCCTGAAGGATACACTGGAAATTACTTCAGCTGGTGATGGAAAACAGTGAAAGTCTATGCACTTTCTTTGGGAAAAAAGGAAGTGGTAGCTATTATTCTTGGGTTTGGGGAAATTTTTTCATGCTGACTCAAAAGACTATCTTAAACCTAATCCTGCTTAGATGGAGATTCTCTCTCACTCTTTGCTTCCCCCCCTCCCCCATCCCTTGATCCCTCCCTCCTTCTCCCTCGCTCCCTCTCTCCCTGTTCCCCTACAGCTTGGGGAATTCTTCCTGCCCATTCTCCTTGGAAAGAATAGACGATTACTATTTTTCTTTTAATTGGCATTGTGTTTGGAGAAGTATAACAAGAAGGGAATAGCTGCCTGCCATATATGCTTGACAGGGGGCTTATATAGTCATTTACCTTTGCACTGCTATTGGCTATTATTCAGCTTTAGAAAACCAGGTACCATTTATTTGCTTGGCCTATGGGGGAACTGTAGCAGCCTATTTTTTATTTATTGACCAGGAAGAAAAGCAGGCAATGGGTTAAAGGATATTGTTATTTTCCCTTTACAAGTGAATTCAATGGGCATAATCTTTTCTCTTTGCTTTAGATGTTTAGTAGTGTATTCTATGGAGAAGACAATGGCACCCCACTGCAGTACTCTTGCCTGGAAAATCCCATGGGCAGAGGAGCCTGGTGGGCTGCAGTCCATGGGGTCGTGAAGAGTCAGACACGACTGAGCGACTTCAATTTCACTTTTCACTTTCATGCATTGGAGAAGGAAATGGCAACCCATTTCAGTGTTCTTGCCTGGAGAATCCCAGGGACAGGGGAGCCTGGTGGGCTGCTGTCCATGGGGTCGCACAGACTCGGACATGACTGAAGCGACTTAGCAGCAGCAGCAGCAGCAGCAGTGTATTCTGCTCATCAATGTTATTTCCTCAAAAGAGAGAAGAAGGGGCGACCTTTAGGTCTTTTCTAGAGCAGTTCTGGCAGTGTCGCAGTAATTTCATCACTCTTTATCAACAGCTTCCTTCTCATGAAGACATATTTAGTTACTGATTGCACAGTGTAGTTCCCTGAAAGTAAACCCTTTATTAAAGGGTACTGATTAATGCAATATTTAAATAAGCCCATGAAAAGTAGAATGGGTAGAACATAAAGTAGAAATTATTTTAACTACAAAGGAAAAAACTTATAATTCCGTTGTCTACAGTTAGCAACAACATTTTGGTCAATATCTTATGCAAATATTTTTTCTTCATTTGTTTAACAAACTGTTATTGGGAACCTGCAGTTAGCTGGGCACTAAGCATTGAAAGAATAGCCCTCTGCCCTCTTGGAACTTTCAATATAGGTTGTATTTGTTGGCATGCAGTTTTGCATTTTGCTTTTCCCACTTAATATTGATATATTATGAAATTTCCCTCATATCATTAAACATGCTCCTTCAGTGGCTCAATAGTACTTTAACATATAGACATTCCTTAAGTTATTTATCTAATCCTTTTTGTTACAGATTCCTCTATAATAAGTTTTCTCTATAATTATAAAACAACCATGTAAGAAATAGTCTTGTGTGGTATAATGCTAAGATGAATTCCAATGACTTTCACCTTGTATAATTCCTTCCTCTGAGATCATGATAGGATATCATTCTATGATTATATTATATACAAGAGGAATTTTGCAGATATAATTGAAGTAACTACTCATTGACTTTGAGTTACTCAAAAGGAAGTTAATCTGACTAGTCCTAAACTGACTACATGAGTGTTATATTTTATTTATTTTATTGAAGTATCATTGATTGGCAATATTATATTAGTTTCAAATGTACAAAATAGTGATTCAATATTTCTATAGATTATACTCCATTTAAAGTTATTACAAAATAATAGCTACTTTTTCCTGTGCTATACAACATATCCTTGTTGCTTATTTTTTATACATAGTAGTTTTTACCTCTTAATCCCATGCTCCTATCTTGCCCTCCTCCTTTCCCTGTCCTCACTGGTAATCACTAGTTTGCTCTCTGTATCTGTGAGTCTGTCTCTGTTTTAGAGATATTCCTTTGTTTTAGATTCTACATGAAAGTGTTAACAGAGTGTTTGTCTTTCCCTGACTTATTTCACAAAGCATAATACCCCCTAGGTCCATCCACATTTTTGCAAATGGCAAAATTTTATTCTTTTTTGTGGCTGAGCAATATTCTATTATATCTTTATATGATATCTTTATCCATTCACCTATTGATAGACACTTAGGTTGCTTCCATATCCTGGCTATTGTAAGTGATGCTATTATTAACAGTGAATTGGGTGTATCTTTTCAAATTAATGTTTTTGTTTTCTTCACACACACACATATATATATATACACACAGCACTGAATTGCTGGATCATATGATAGTTTATTTCTAGTTTTTTGAAGAACCTCCATACTGTTTTCCATATTGTTTCACCAATTTACATTTCTGCCAACAGTGTACAAAGGTTTCCTCTTCTCCACATCGTTGCCAACATTTGTTATTGTTTTTGATGATAGCCTTTCTGACAGGTATGAGGTGATATCCTATTGTAGTTTTGATTTGCATTTTCCTGAGGATTATGGTGTTGAGCATCATTTAATGTGCCTGTTGGCCATCTGTGTATCTTCTTTGGAAAAATATCTAATCAGATCTTCTGCCTATTATTAATTGGGTTGTTTGGTTTTTTTGATATTGCGTTGTATGGGCTATTTATATAGTTTGGCTATTACCCCTTTCTTGGTCACATCATTTACAAGTAAGCTGTCTTTTCATTTTGTTGATGGTTTCCTTTGCAGTCCAAAAGCCTTTAGGTTTAACTGGGTTACATGAAACTTTTAAAAGCATAGAGTTTTCTCCAGCTGATGGCAGCAGAGGAAATTAGAGAGATTTGACATGAGAAAGGTTCTCTGTTGCTGAAATAAAGAGGACCCCAGGCCAGTACCTGAGAGAGGCCTCCAGGAGCTAAGGATTACCCTTAGGAGCTAAGGATTACCCTTACTCTGCTCACAGTCAACGTAAAACCAGGGGCCTCAGTCCTACAACCACAGAAGTCTAAATTCTTTACCAGCTGAGCCACAAGGGAAGCCCAAGAATACTGGAGTGGGTAGCCTATCCCTTCTCCAGCAGATCTTCCTGGCCCAGGAGTCAAACCAGGGTCTCCTGCATTGCAGGTGGATTCTTTACCAACTGAGCTATCAGGGAAGACCACAAATAACCTGAACGAACTTGGAAGCAAATTCTCCCCCAGCTTCTAGACAGAGCCCAGCCTGACTGGCACCTTGACTTCAGCCCTCTAAGACACTGAGCAGAGTAGCTTTTGTTGTGAAAGAAGATTTACATTTCTCTTGCTACTAGTAGCGTGGACAATTGTTTTCTTTATTTGGAGTTCAGCTGGTAAGTCTATTTTAGTGAGTTGCCTAGTCTGAGTCTTTAGCTAGCTTTACCGTTGGTGCAGAGAAAGTAATTCCTGACTACTAGTAAGTAGCACAGCAGTTCTCGACTGTAATATCTTCAAGAGGTTGTTGTTTTTGTTCAGTCGCTAAGTAGTGTCTGACACTTTGCGACCCCGTGGGCTATAGGACACCAAATTCCTCTTTCCTCCACTGTCTCCCAGAGTTTGCTCAAATTCATGCCCATCTTCAAGGAGTAGCATGATTGAGAGAATTATCACTTCTAAGAAATATTAGCTGCTGCCATCATTCCCTGCAAAAAACAAAAAAACCCAGCCACTGGACTGTGGGAGAATGGGAAATGCCCATTCTCAATGAATTCAGCTTCATTGATTAGGCAGTATTGCCTAACTTTGCTAGGGAAAAGCCTAGCTTGTCTGATTTGGCGTTGGAAATTTGGTCGTTTCAGGAATAAAGATGTATTGCATCTTACCATGGAAAACTGTAACTTTGACAACTGTTTTAGAAGGAAATATATACTGTTAACTCTTAGGAAAAAATCCTACTATCTTTCTAAAAAAAGTATCACTATTTTCAATTTGATCAAGATAATCATCTCTGATTGTGTGTATTATATTGCTTTATTTGGGATAAGGTATGGGAGAAAATTCAAGTCACTTTTTTTTGCAATCCTTATTATTTGAGATGATAGGGTTTATACCTGACAAATGAAATAAAATGGAAGGAAAGAAGAGGAAGAAAAGAAAAAACCCCCAAAAACAACCAAACAGAAAGAAGGAAGAGATTCCCTTTTGCTCTTGGAGAGTAGTTTTGCTTGGTTTAGACTTTTCTTAAAAAATTGGTTCTTGCTCCCTAAATTTCTGGAGGTTGGTATCCTTCCTAATAAGAGGAAGATATTTTTAATTTTTTATTCTCAAATGATGGCATATTTATAGGATAGAATAGAAAAATATGCAGGTAGTTTCCATATATAAGAATTTTTTTAGTTGAGTAGTCAAATCTTGTTTACTTAAAAAGTCAGCTCCCCCTAAAATTGGATATGAGGTATGGTTTCTGTTTATGTCCCCAGAATTCATAATGGCTGTTCTCCTGTGGAAACTTTATACTGCCTTTTGGGGTGTATGTGGAGGGGGATAGGTTTGGAAAGGCATTGGAAACTCTACGTTAGCTTGGTGCTGGGGGCATAGAATGTGTAACTGTTAGAGGAGCTATGCCATGTGTAAAAAGAATGGTGGACTTGACCTTGGAAAGCCTGGATTCTGAACTGCATTCAACCATGTTATAACCGTGTGAGCTTTCAAATCCAGTTTTACCTTCCTCCTGAGTTGTTTGGAATACAGGAAGTAAAGCAGTTTGGAAATGAACACCTTCAGTTCAGTTCAGTTCAGTCACTCAGTCGTGTCTGACTCTCTGCGGCCCCATGAATTGCAGCACTCCAGGCTTCCCTGTCCATCACCAACTCCCAGAGTTTACTCAAACTCATGCCCATCGAGTCAGTGATACCATCCAGCCACCTCATCCTCTGTCATCCCCTTCTCCTCCTGCCTCCAATGCCTCTCAGCATCAGGGTCTTTTCCAATGAGTCAACTCTTCGAATGAGGTGGCCAAAGNGAATTCCATGAATTATATAGTCCATGGAATTCTCCAGGCCAGAATACTGGAGTGGGTAGCCTATTCCTTCTCTAGTGGATCTTCCCAACCCAGGGATTGAACCCAGGTCTCCCGCACTGCAGGCTGATTCTTTACCAGCTGAGCCACAAAATGATGATGAGGTCATCAAATATTTATTGAATACTTTTTAAGGTGCTAAATACTGCGCTAAGTGCTTTACAAGCTCTCACTGAATCTCACTGAATGTGCCATTACTCCATGAGGTACATGCTATAGTTACCTTTATTTTACAAAAAATGGGGGCCAAGACTTCAAAGGCTTAAGTGAACTACCCAGGATCACCTTAAGCACTGAATGGCCGAGTCACTTGTCAATTCAGGTGTGTCTGGCACCAAGGCCCATCCCCTCACACTGTGATGAGCCCTTTATTTTACAGAAGTAGAGGTCCTGAGAGGTTAAGACCATGGTCTCCCTCCTTCTTTTGTTTTTTTCAGCATTGTATCTTTGTTTATTCCCATGCATTTTGTCAAGTATTTCTGGCCTCTGTGCATCCAGCCAACGTGTCAAAGTGACAAAAAGTTACTAGAGTTTTAAGCAACTAAAATAAGATTTCCGTTTTTAAAATTTGTAATGGAATCGATCGGATTTTTAGTGAAGCATTTTCTACCAGACTCCTATAAAGGAGACACTGTCTCCCATGTGCTATTAAAAGTTGGACCTTGTGACCACAGTCTGACTGTTTTTCTTTTAGAGAAGCCAGAGGGGCAGCCTGTGACTTCATGGGAAAAATAGCCACCCAAGATCTACCCAGCATCATTTTTAGTTCTTTAATTTTGGTAAGCTCACATTTTTAAAACAGATCAAATTTGTCTGATTTCATCCAGAAGTATATATTACAAAGCATTCAAAGGCAAGCGAGAACTCAAGGGGTCAGAGCAGAGCTCGAGAGCTTTTCACGGAGACACCATTTGGGAGGTGAGCATTTCTTCTGGAAGCTTCAGTTACTATATTTTTAGAAACATGTTCCCATTCTTTTCATTATTATTAAAAGAATAACTAATTCATATAAATATTTTTTTGATATTAAGTTGACATAGCATCATTAAAATTCCTCTTTTTTTTTTTAAACGTTTCAAGTGACAGAGGATATTGTCAAGTCTTAGAAGGGTTCTACCATTTTCTTCTCCACCCTAAAGAGACTCGGAAATTAGCGGCTGACGTTTTGCATGAAATTTCTGAATGCTTGTCTTCTTATCTCTGAGGCCTTCTGTGGAGAATTAAGAGGAGGTTGAATGCGCGCATGGATAAAATGGATCATCTTAAAGGATTGAAGTTCCAAAAATACATCAGCAGGACTGGACAGGTTTGACATAATGAGATTTCTATTTTAGCTTGACTTCTGGAACTCTGAATAAACTGAACTGCACAAGGTCCTGGGGAGGAGGTTTCTCTTCTAAAATATTCTAGCTGCAGATAATATTTTTCTTATTCAGACCCTTTCAAGAAATGTATTTATTCATCCATTTCTGCAGAAATAAGACTATTAGACACTGACCAACTTTTAATATATGCAGTGCATAGAAAGCAATTTGTATCATACTGGAAAATAAATTTTCCTAAAGAAACAGACCCAGAGAGAGACGACATCTCTACATAAGCACAGGGTGAGATGGCAGAAGCTCCTGTGGATGCCTCAACTCTGCCTGTAACCGTGAAGAAAAAGAAAAGCCTATCCATTGAAGAAAAGATCGACATCATAAATGCAGTAGAAAGTGGTAAGAAAAAAGCAGAAATTGCAGCTGAGTATGGAATAAAGAAAAATTCGTTGTCTTCTATTATGAAGAATAAAGACAAGGTTCTGGAAGCCTTTGAATCACTGAGATTTGATCCAAAGAGAAAAAGACTGAGAACTGCTTTTTACACAGACCTGGAAGAGGCACTAATGAGGTGGTATCGAATCGCTCAGTGTCTGAATGTGCCAGTTAATGGTCCAATGTTGCGGCTAAAAGCTAATGATTTTGCCCAGAAACTGGGACATAATGATTTTAAGTGCAGCAATGGTTGGCTGGATCGTTTTAAATCCAGGTATGGCCTAGTATTCAGGGCTCAACCTGTAGAATCCACAGGTGTATCAGTAGACCCTTCAGCTGTCTGGCACCAAAACATACTTCCTTATTATTTAAATGATTATCATCCTAAAAATGTTTTTAATGTAAAAGAGACTGGGCTGCTTTATCGAATGTTGCCTACAAATACCTTTGCATTTAAAGGAGAAACCTGTTCAATTGGCAAGTTATGCAAAGACAGAATAACTCTGGTGGTTGGGACAAACATGGACGGCTCAGAGAAACTTCCTCTGCTTCTCATTGGAAAAAACAGAAACCCACATTGCTTCAGAGGCATAAAATCATTGCCTGTGTGTTATGAAGCTAACAAAATGGCATGGATGACTGCAGATGTGTTTGAACAGTGGATGCAGAAGCTGGATGAGAGATTTCAAGCTCAGCAAAGAAGAGTGGTGATTTTTATTGAATCTTCTCCTGCACACCCGGAGGTAAAAAACCTGAAATCCATTGAATTAGCGTTCTTTCCATCATGTTTATCTTCCAAATTTATAGCTATGAAGCAAGGTGTTATTAGAAGCCTTAAAATCAAATATCGACATTGTCTTATTAAGAAATTTCTGAGCTCTGTTGAAGGCAGCAAAGAATTTACCTTTTCCCTTCTAGATGCAGTTGATACATTGCATCTCTGTTGGAGGGCTGTCACCCAAGAGACTATTGTTAAGAGCTATGAAGAGGCAGGATTCAAATCTCAAAGGGGAGAAAGTGAGGAGGCAAATGCAGAGACAGACACTGGTCTTGATTTGGTTGCCGACGCCCAGGCGGCAGGAGTGGAATTTCCCGAAGGCTTATCTGTAGAAGAGTATGCTGCCCTGGATGATGACTTGGAGACTTGTGAGCCAACACCAAGCGATGATGCTGTATGCCCCAAAGTAAGTGAATCAGATGAAACTGGATTTTATACTTCTGACGAGGAGGAGGATGGTGGATCTCTGGAAAGCGAACTCCCTTTACCATCAAAAATTGAGGCAATAACTGCTTTAGATACTCTGAAAACTTTTCTTAGAAGTCAAGATATAAATGATGAGCTTCATAATTCTTTAGCAGATCTTGAAATTTTTATTAACTCTTTATCATCTAAGTAATTATTTATTGTACAACATCTGAAGATAATAGAGCTTTTTATAATGTATTTTATTATTAATATTTAAGGTATGTAAAGGGAAAATACCTCTTAAACCTAAAAAATGCCTAACTAATAATTTTTGGTTTGATTGCAGATGTCTTTGGTCTGTCTGCAGAGCAAAGTTCCCTAGGTAGATTAACTGATGAGTAAGTAAATGAAAAATATGAATTTCAATTTAGTAAGATTTTAGGGAGCAGAAAATAAATTTCACAGGCCTTATATTTGAAATATATGACACATATGTCAAAAACAGAAAGAACTCTCCAACTATTTGATTCACACTGGTTGAATTGGTGATTGCTGTTTTCTATTTTTTTCAAGTTCAAATCATGTTGTAAGATATTTTAATTTTTCTACCTCATCTAAGAACCAAAACATGTATCTATTGGTTAGCTATTTATTTTTATAAATATATACTAACTAGACTCTGAAGTATCAAGTGCTAATTTTAAATTATTTTTCTCATGACTAATCATCCTAATACAAATTATGAAAAATTACTGAAAAAACATCTGACTCAATTATATACCCAGATGATTAAAAATATGCATCTAACTTTCAAATTATTTCTGTGTAAGGTCAAATGAAAGACTATGACCTTATCAGGTTTTCTTAAATCATCTATAGCCAGAAGATGATATGGATTCTTCCTAAATATTTGTATGTACATGTGTGTGTGTTTAACAGAAAAGTACATTATTAAAATATGTATTAAACTTTTTATATTTTAATAAGAGTACTCTTAATAATATGAAGAAACTTATGCAGTTACTAAAAAAGAAAATATGTAATTCTTAGTTTTCTGATTGTAAGAGCTGAAACTTTTAATCTATAATATTGGATTTTTTTTATTTTACTGAATTTTATTTTCAGGACAAACTGATTGTTCTTTCAGCATATTTTGATGTTGTTGTTGTTGTTTTTTTCCAAATTCAGTGGGTAGCATTTTGGATTAACTTTCTGTTTGAGGAAGTTTTGTATTCAGAATATTTTAAAATATTGTATGAAATTATTTATATTCCATAAAATAGTCTTTAACCAGTAGAAAAATATAACAATGTGTTTGAGTTTTTTGTTGTTAAATTTTAAATACATTTAAGTTATCACATCTAATTTAGTGTCCTTTTTGAAAAGTATTTTGAAAAAGTATAAACATTATACTGATGATTTTTTTTCTGAATTATTAGTCTGCCAACACAAGACACGTTTGGAAGTGACTATTTATAGAAAGTATTTTTATTTTCCACTGTTGACTTACTTTGCATTTGAGATTTAGTAGTTGTTAAGCCTGAAAAATGTATTAATATTAAAGTTTCTTTTAGAGTAAAATATAGATTGTTTATATTTAATTAAAAGCATTTTTATTAATGACCTGATTTAAAATTTTAATGTGATGGAATCATGGACGTAAATCATGGACCTTGATCTCTCTTAAGAGTCCCACTTGTTAACTAAAGTACCCGGTTAATACTGAGCCCTCAATAACTTTTTTCTCTTTCTTTCTCCACTTCATACCATTTGTATATCAAATATTTTATTTAATCATTCCAGATATTTTATGACATAAGAATTATTATCTCCATTTTTACAGATGAGGGAATTAAAACCTGGAACAGTGATTCGGTTAAAATCTCAGGACGAAAGCTAAAATGCAATAGTTCCCCATCACCTAGTCCTGTGTTCTGCTAACTGTATCCCACAGTACTTCTTTTCTGTACTCTATAAAAGAAAATTCTATGGTTGTTTTCTCCTTGAACTTAGGGTTCTGAGGTCAAAAGTATTTCAGAGACTAACCTGAATCTTTGCTGATAGCTGTATTCATTCCTCTCTCCTAAGAACATTGTTGCTAATGAAATACCAGGACTTTCTGATTTGGTACTCTGTACCATTTTAACACAGAGGTTCCTTGGAGTTCTATTGAAAATATTTAAAAGCAACTTTAATATTCCCAAAGTGTTGAAAGAACCTACTCATTTCCTCTATATGACATCATCTATTTTTTATTTCAGGGCATAATAAATCTCAACGTAATAAAATAAGACTAAGGCTCCTATGAAGACTAAGAAAAAGGTGCCCAAGTTTTAAATTCAAAGATAAATTTTAAATTGTTGATGGTATACACAATTCCATGTAGTTTACAAGATATATAGATTTAGATCATTTTCAGAACAAAACAAAAAAGTCACTTTGCCTAGGACAGTCACTACTGCCTGCCTCACTCCTGATCTGTCTTCTTTTTTTTTTTTTCTGATCTGTCTTCTTTATACACAGTCAGTTGCAAAGAGTCGGAGACAACTGAGCAACTAACACACACACACACACACACACACACACACACACGGTCAGTGCAGAGTTGGGACTAAATGTCACTTGTCTTTTCAAAGAAGAACTTGATTTACAATTCATTAGTTTTTCAATTAAATGTGACATTATTCTTCCTTACAAATTCCTGTTGTTTCAACAGTGTTTTTGCCTGTTTCTACTTCATCAAGCAACAAATCTTATGTTGAATTTGGGACACTGTTTCACTCCATCAGTGAGGGGTTTGGTCCAGGATAAAAGAGGACAATGAGTAAATCAAGGCCTGTTGGGTTTTATGGTACCTGCCTGGCTTCTTATTTGGACCTAAGATCAAGTGTTAAACCTCCCTTTTAACATATGCAAAGCAGAATAATTGGAAGGGGAAGTAAAGGAGGAGAGGAAGAGTCCAAGGAGAGCTTGCAACACAAATGCCTCAGATTTTACAAGAAGCCTTTTCAGTCCCTCTTCCAGCAGGGGCTCCGTGGAAACTGGCCGAGAGAAGTTTGCCCCCAGGGAAGATAGCACCACACGTCTGCTCAGAGGTTAAGAGTCCAGTGAGGGGTTGCATCTTTGTCAACACTAAAAGTTCTCCAGGCCGAGTGCAGGCAGCTACCCTAGTTGCTGTGAAGAGATCTCTTGAGAGAGAGGCCTAGGCTAGGGGCCACAGTATGCATACAATTAAGTTCTCAGAAAACATTTTAGCCACTGGATATATTAAATCTAGTCATAGTCCTATGCTGTCTTGCAAAAGACATTTCATTTCTCTGAATCTCAGTTTCCTTCATTCATAAAATGAGACTGACACTTCATTTGAATTTATTTTGCAGATGAAAGAAAAATTTGCATGTGAATGCTTTCAGCAAACTCGGAAGTGTTCCACAACTATAGCAAATGACTGAAAGATGCTTCCAGGTTACTACTCCCAGATATGCCCAAGTATTAATATTGTGGTCACTAAACACAAATGAGAATTTTCTCATTGAAATTTCTTCTGTGCAGTAAAATAGGACAGTCAACATTTCTAGAAATATGCCATTTATCTGTAGAAATAAAAAATTATTTCTGTTTTGAATGAGGGAATAAGGTGACTTAGAAAGCTTCATTTTTTTTTCAGTTGATCCTCATGGAAAGCAATTCAATAAAATAAGTACTCATTGCGAAGTAGCTTTCTAAGTAGCCTGTCATATCACCACATTAGCTGACTGAATTGTACTGTTTCCTTGGGCTGTGTATCTGAGGGTGACCCAGAGTCTGGGGAAAGACTAATAAACACACTACTATTGTAATCTACTTGGGCTGCCATAACAAAATACCGTTGACTGGTGGCTTAAACAACAGAAATTTATTTTCTCATGGTTCTAGAGGCGAGAAGTCTTGAAATCAGGGTGCCAGCTGGTCAGTTTACAGTGAGGAATTTCGCCATGGGCTGCAGACAGTCATCCTCTTCCTGATGCTCCTGTGACCTCTGCTCTGTCAGTACAGGGAGAGAGAGAAAGCGCTAGCCCTCTGGGGTCTCCTTGTAAGAGCTCTGTCCCATTGTGAGGGGCCCATCTTCATGACCTCATCTAACCCTGAGTATGTTCTCCAAGCCCCATCTCCAAGTACCATCACACTAGAGAGTTAGGGCTTTAACATATGAATTCTGAGTCACCCAACTACCCCGTACTGATGAAAAGTACAGTTGTCCCTTGAAAAACACAGGTTTGAATGCAAGGGTCCACTTAGATGTGGATTCCTTTTGCTAAATATGAGTTACAGGACTACACTGGCCCCCCGTGGGTTGAATGCATGTATACAGAGGGCACACCGTAAAGTTATACACATGTTCTCAACATCCTGGAGGGTCAGTGCCCCTGACCCCCAGATTGTGCAAGAGTTAACGTTTCAAAAAAAAAAAAAAAGAGTTAACGTTTCACATATTAATCAGCTTCGTTTTCAATTTGCTATAAACTAAAAGGACATGCATGTTTCAGAACTTATTAATTAGCAGTAGCTATTAGCAAAGACTTTAAAGCTTATGAAACTTTAAGAAGAAATGGGGACATATTTCATGTCCTTGAACAAATGGGAAGACTCATTATTGAAATATGCCTATTTCCTCCAAGTTAATTTCAAACAAAATCCCATTGCAGGTTTGTTGAAAATTTTTCAAAATATTGTTTGAAAATTTTGAAAAAATAATTCTGATTTGTATCTGGAAAAATAAAAATGCATCAATATCTAAGAAATTCTTGAAAAATAAAAATAGGTAGTATTTGACCTATACCAGATGTTTTAGCAATATGATGTTGGCAAGAGAATTAATAGGTCAATCAAAAGAATGATGTATGATGTCTAGAAAAAAAACAAAAAATTTGCATATGATAAAAGTGGTTTTTATTCAGTGGTGAAAAAGATGGATTATTCAGTAACTGATATTGAGGCAATTGGCTAAGAGAGAAGGATTTTTTAAAGTCGTATTCGAAATGAATCCTAGAAGGATTAAAGACTAAGAAGGAAGGAAAGTAAAAAAGGAAGAAAAGAAGGGTGAGAGAAAGGGAAAAAGAAAGGATACAGAAATAAAAAAAAGACAGCAAGGAGAGAAACTCGTAAACACTAGGGTGAAAAGGTAAAACTTTTAATAGGGAAGATCCTTTAAAAAATATGACACTCAGGAAAACACTTGAGTATGAAAATATTTTCAGCATCACTAGAAATCAAAGAAATACAAGCAAAATGGGATAGCTCTGTGGGGAAGTTTTAGCACATTAGAAAGATTATGAAGAATGATAATACTAAATAGAGACAGGATAGAAAAATGCATGCACTGCTGTTGGAAATAAAAATGGATACACTGTTACTATAATTATAGCTGACATGTATTAAATGCTTACTCATTACCAAACTATTTTAAATGTTTCACATGTTACCTCACTCAATCCTCAGAATAATTCCGATTATTATCATTCCCATTTTACCAATGAGAGAATTTAAGTATAGATACAGTTACAGGAAATCCCATGGACTAAGGAGCCTGGTAGGCTACAGTCCATGGTGTCGCAAGAGAGTCATACACGACACAGTGACTGAACAACAGCTAATAAATAACAAAATGAACATTTAAACATAGAAAACCTGACTTAGAAATATGTTGTACATGATAAAAATTCATCCTAACAAAGCAGAGATAACGAGAATATTGGCTGCAGTGTGTATATAGGGCCATGGGCTTCCTAGGTGGCTCAACGGTAGAGAATTCGCCTGCCTTCGCAGGAGATGCAGGAGACTTGGATTCAATCCTTCGCCAGGAAGATCCCCTGAAGAAGGGAATGGTGACCCGCTCCATTATTTTTGTCTGGAAAATGCCATGGACAGCAGAGCTTCGTGGGCTACCATCCATGGGTTCACAAAGAGCTGGCCACACTGAGACTGGGCACGCATGCAACACAGGGCCTCAGCACCATGTCCAAAACCCTGGAGGCATGCACGTTTCAGGATTTCTCAGGTTTGGGAAAGACAGTATATGCATATATTTCATATTATGTAACACCCCTGGGAATACTAGGGTAGCATCCCACAACCAAACATTAATAATTTTGCAATGAAACATATTCACTTGAAGTCAGATATGTAAAGATTATAAACAGCTTAGTAGCTTCATAGTTTTTATTGCCAAATAAGTTCGTGTCAGTCAGCTTTCACCACCACAAGGCTACAAAAAGGTTGTCAGAGCTTTTCATATTTCGGAATGCAGATAGCAGATTGCAGTCCTATAATAACTTAAAGCAAAAGACTGAAAACTATCTGAATGTTTTTGAGAATTGATTAAATATATGTTTACATTGATGAAATATCAACATCTAAACTTTTAAGAAATTTCTTTTACTGTGTGTATTTGCAAATTTGCTTGCATGAACTGAAGTGAATATTTTCTAAACTCAAATTTTTCTAAATTGCACATTCTGGAACTAAAATCTTCTGATTCTCCTTGTTGAACATCTTACTGTCAGCACAAGGCTAGGAAATTCCTTGCCAAGTAAAACAGAAACTATACATAGTACTGAATTGGTGAAAAACTAGACTTACTGGTTTAATGTACTATAAATTATAATACATGTTCATCTTTGGGCATTAACCCAATACGAGTCCAAAGAAATCAGCTTCCCTGATTGGAGAACTCTTGGCCAGTGTGTCAGGGAGAAAAATCAAAACAATAAGAGCCCTGTTTAATTCCACTTTTACTTATTTTTTTCTGAATCATCAAATCCCAACAAGATCATGTTTTGCTTTTTAAAGGACTGCTGTTTAATCCCATTGTATCTTTCCAAGAGTACCTATTAAATATAAGCAGTTTGTTGATATGATTAATACTTGCTCAATTGGGGAACTCAGTAATGTTACAGATAGTCTTGTTTCCTGTATTAGGCATAAAGACCAGGTTTTGTTTTGTTTTGTCTTCCTATAACTTCCTCTTTAAATGCCACTAAACTCCCCTCTTGTTAATGCAAAGTCACACCAGTGTTGCTGGCTGATGCCACACCTTATTTTCCATATTGCAAAATAGATAACTCAGCATGGAGATAAGTCATTTTCATGTTACTACCTGCCCCACTGAGCAACCAGTTCCAAAAAAAGATTCAGAATTACATATCTCAACACTTGGAGTGGTTTGCAGAGAGTTATGTGCCCCACCCTTACACTCTAACTATCTGGGAGACTCTCATACTGTTTGTGCAATGAATAGTCAATTACCAAGTTAAATTAAATCAACCAAATTAGTTACCAAAAATTAAGAAAGCAAAATAAAGCAAATAATAACAAAAAAGACTCAGACCTATGCACTGCAACTATTTTAATTGTTATAAAGTCAGCCAACAATAAACTTGGTAAAAGAAGACTCATATGCAATATCACAATTTGAGTAATCACTAATTTGATATACTCTAATTTTTAATTTAAAAGTCTAGGGAGGTATAAATATCTACCAATTTACATAATATGATGTTGGCTTCAGATTGCCATCTATATCCTTTATTTTCTTAATTTATTCCTAAATGTTTTATAGGTTGATTGCTACTATGAATGTAATAGTTTCCTTTTTAATTTTCAGATTACTGCTATTGTGTTCTTGTTGTTTATTCACTAAGTCCTATCCAACTTTTTGCAATCCCATGGACTATATATAGCCCACCAGGCTCCTCTGTCCATGGGATTTCCCAGGCAAGAGTACTAGAGTGTGTTGCCATTTCCTTCTCCAGGGGATCTTCCTGACTCAGAGATTGAACCCACTTCTTCTGCGTTGGCAGGCAGATTTTTTACCACTGAGCCACCAGGGAAGCTCTACTGCTAGTATAGAGACTAGTGAGTGATTTTTAACTATATCTAGTCACCCTTATGGTAGAAAGTGAAGAGGAACTAAAGAGCCTCTTGAGGAAAGTGAAGGAGGAGAGTAAGAAAGTTGGCTTAAAGATCAACATTCAGAAAACTAAGATCATGGCATCCGGTCTCATCACTTCATGTCAAATAGATGGGGAAACAGTGGAAACAGTGTCAGACTTTATTTTTTGGGGCTCCAAAATCACTGCAGATGGTGATTGCAGCCATGAAATTAAAAGACACTTACTCCTTGGAAGGAAAGTTATGACCAACCTAGATAGCATATTAAAAAGCAGAGACATTACTTTGCCAACAAAGGTCCATCTAG